CTGCCCGACAGAGACGTGCCCAGAGCCCCTGTGTGCACCCAACAAGCCAACGGAGCAATGCTACAAGTGTTGATTTATTCCTCCTGCCACGGGGCTCTTCTTCCAGAGGAAGGCTGCAGTGCTGCCCAGACACTTCACCCCAAGTGGAAAGGCGTATCATCGCCCTGCCTCACCGACTTCTTCCCAAGGGTATCCCTCATATTCCCTAAGAAGATGAGCAGAGCTCAGCATGCCTTTGAGTTCAGCACAACTCCTCTCTTTCCCCAGTACTGCACCTAAATACACTCATCAACTAAAACAACTCCTCGGCTGTCACTCACAGTAACACAGTCCTAAGAGGTGCCTTATTAACACACAGACAAGCCGCTGTATCTGGAAGTGCTGACCTCTTACAAACATGCTAAAAGAATAACTGCCAAGCACCTCTCCTTGCTTGCAGCTTCAAGAGCTATGGACAAGATCAGCATGGGTAAAACTGCAGCTCCACAGACTTGTATAGAGAATTTGCACTGTGTACGCCGCTAGACTTGGGTGACTGGATTTTCTCAGAGAGCTTAAGACAGCCCAAGAGCAGTCTTAAGACACAGTCATGTCTCCTTTACTACCTTCCCTCCCTCTTCACATACCACCCGCATGAGCAGGAAGCGATTCTGAACCTCCAGAGCTGTATGCTAACCCCAAGAAAAACTGCAGAGTAACATGAACAAACAAATGCCTGTTTATTCGGAAAGATGCTGATGACTTTACTTTTCTTTGCAGTGACCTAAAAGGCATTCCACAGTTGATATTTCTTGGGTCGACAACAATCTTTCAGATGCTGTTATTGCAACTGCTGGTTTTAACTCTAGCAGGGTAAGGGAAGGGGCAAGTAAAGCAGAGACAGGCCTCCAGAGGCACAGCTACGTGCCAACACTATAAAGAGATTAATTGCCAGGACCCCGTGTCCTAGTGCTCTTAATTTTAGGGGGGGAAAAAAAAAAACCCTGCAAAAGACAAGAAAGGGTTTGCAATCTCAGAGCCCTGTCAGGTCTACTTCGGATCTGGTTTTCTTCATACATAGCTCCTGGTGGCAAAGGTTTTATAGGTCAAGCAACGCTGTAACGGATGCTCTTTGGCAAACTGGGTTTGCCTGGATGTAATTCAGTGAAGCTTTATGAAACAATTTGGCTGACAAGGCACGTGCAAGGAGAGAATCAGCTCATTCCTCCTAAGCCACAGTGGCTTGGCAGAGTTGCAGGAACAAGGGGAAACTTATTTTCCTCACTGGAGTCAGCAACGGTATGCCTGTATGCAGAAGAGGAGGTGGATATAAAGGTGGGTCCCATGAGTAGAAATGCATCGCTTC